ATGTATGACTTATTAAAACACACACACACACACACACACACACACACACACACACACACAGAGAGAGAGAGAGAGAGAGAGAGAGAGAGAGAGATCAATTCAAAATCTCTGAGGGACAGACCCTGTGTCTCTACAAGTTTTGATCATGCCCAGACTGGACTGCATATTCTGCTCGGTCTCTAATCTGTCATAATTCAATAATTTAACAATCAATTATTTCCCTATGATGTTTTAAATAGTTGCTATTGTCTTGTTTACAAATGCATGGATTTTTGATAGAGCTCCCACCACAAGGCCATCCACATCTGTTCTTTTGTTATTCATCACAACATCCTTAAGAGTTGAGTGGGTGGGTGGGTTTTGCTATGTGGCAGTTTATGGTGGAAGCTCCATCTCCTCTTCTGCTAAATGAAATTTTATTCTTGAGTTCTCATTGCCCCAGGGTTGCTCAGGGTGTGAGGAATTCATTCACACTGCTCTCCCAAAAGATGAAGAGAAGGTACTGAGAGGGAAGCCATTATTTCTAGTTTTCAGTGGGGGACTTCTGTGGTTGGAAGTCTGTCTCACCTCTATATGAGACAAGCATTCCCTTCTCAGAAGCAGATCCAGTCAGAGAATCTGAGGCTGCTTCCTGTGTGTGTGTCTAGGAACTTTATTTTCAGGGCAGAGGACGCAGTGAGTTCTGGGAGACCCTGCAGGTTCTGGGGCCTCTATGGGTACCAACCACAGAGGCAGAAAGTGCCCACTTTCTGAACAGGCTGTCTTCCCCATTTTGTTCTAAATAAAACCTTGGGCCACTTTTCTTTAAAGCCCATGGCTGTCCCTCTCCGGACTGAAGCAGCCATTACCTCCCAGAAGAACTGGCTCTAGGAAGCTTGGGAACTACAAAAAGGCAAGGTTTGGCTATGTGACCACTAAGATGATCATCCTCAGGATGTTGGGCTCACCCAGGCTATTTTCTCAACCTTAATGTAAACTCCGTAAGTTTTCTATTTTAATGCATAAGAGTTACTTGAATTCTATCTACTTGACTACAATGTTGATAGACGTACAATATAGTGTTAAGCCCAAAGTAAGTGTAAACTAGTGGATAACAAGCATGAAAGTTTGACTCACCTTGAGGTTTTGTGATGCGCTGAATTTGTAAACTGTGTCCGTTTGCATCTGTAGCAATGCATGTTTTCACGTCCACTCTGTAGTTCTCATTATTAATTTGGACATCAACTGTTTTTCCCTGTTTTTTTCTTGCCTCCTCCAATTTCATATTGGTTATTTTGTCAAAACTACGAAAAGTGTTATTGTCGTCATATTGCCATTCTACAAACTCAGCGATATAATCTGCTATGGATTCCTGCTCTTTGGCTGATCTAACTGTCTTTATCCTC